ACGATATGCAGCAGTTTGCTTGAACAGATATTTGATAGATCAGTTTAGCTCTGAATTTTGACTGTTGATGCTCAGGTACATCATAATTATCTGTAAATGACCAGAATATAATTCCGAAGAATATTCTTGATTCGTGATCACATCAAAATGATTGAGAACTTTGAATGTTTTATACTGTGCATAGCGATCCAAAATTAATCTCTTCTAAGACAAAATCTATCACTGACAGATGGATGAGCAGACGAACTGAATACCAAACAGGAGTCTGGGTAAGTCACTGAAGTATAAAAGAGAGCCCAAATAATCCATAAACCCCTAACTCTCAAAAAACAATCCACTCTAAAAGGACATATTCCTACCAAGGCCAACCTGCCAGAAGAAAGCCACTAAAAATTCATGAATCTGTGCGAGTCATCCTTCAGTGTCATCATCAGGTCCTGATGATAGTATTCTAATGCTTCAGAGTGCAGACGTCTTATTTGTCTCTCTTCAGACTTAGCAAGTGAAGACATTTCTGATCAAACCAATGCAAAAGGCTCTGTATCAAATAGGTTTCTGTAATGACATTGACCACATTCAAAAATAAGATCTGATTCACTCTGTGCCATGAGAAAAACGTGACCATAAATATGCCGGCATTTTTTCCCCCATTTTCCCAAGAAATTGGTTTTAGTTTTACACCTAAAACTTGATAAATGATTTTTTTTCTGTATAACAAACTTTACACAGAATGGCCCCAGTGGGTTCAAACCAGGAACACTCTTGCTATGATGTGGCAGGGCTAATCAGTGTACAACCATGCTTCCTTTGGGCTATCTACAACTGGACTGAAATTTAACGTACATACAGTGACACATTTTCTGGAAATCTAGCTAAAACACATGCTAAACAGGACTAAAACAAGAGAACTGAAAATTGAGAACAACGCTGCAGTCAGTATGAGAACTGATAATAAAAGACAGGTGCCATAACTGAGTCTGGGTATTATTGTGCTTTAATAAGACTTAACATAATTTAGTTGATTGACAGAGATTCACTCTCTTCCGCTTATCCAATTCAAAGTCTCAGGGGAGGGGCTGGAACCGATCCTGGCTGCCATAGGGCAAAAGGCGGAGCACACCCTGAATAGGTCACCAGTCTGTCACACAGCACAGAGAGACCAACAACCACTAACACGTATGGGCAATTTAGAATCACCAGTTAATCTAACCCCACTAACCACATGTCTTTGAACTGCGGGACAAAGCCAGAGCACCTGGAGAGAACCCATGCAGACACAAGGAGAAACATACACACAGAGAAAGGTGGATTTTGTTGTGAGGGAACAACAACACCATGCTGCCAAGATTGAAAGAGACTAAATATACTAAAATTGATTTACTATAAAAATCTTGTGCTATTCAAAGCAAAACAAAAAAAGAAAAACAATGAGCAAACAAATGCAACAGCTGATGTTCATCACAACGACTGAGGGACTACTTAAGATGTATTAAAAATGCAAATAGGCTCCAAATTTCTCCTTTCAAGTTAAGAGCAACACAGCAATTGAATGTTTGACCCCCCAAAAAATGTTTGAGCAGAGGAAATAACGCTGTAAAGGTTTGAATATCCCTGTAAAAATAATGTGAAGGAGCTATTTTTTGACACTGTTATAGATGGGGATTGTAATCTCTCTTTCTGATTGGCAAAATAGACTTTATCGGTCTTGATAGACTTTAACTGGTCAAAGCACGAAGTCGGCAACAGAGGCTCAAGGAGCACAAAGAGCGGGGGAATTGCAGATCTCACTGCTGACTCAGCATGCCTGCCTCTTCTTCCTTTTCCATAGCAACACATTCATTCGAATCTACAACCCCAAATACATGATGTAGAGTGCTCTGTTTCACCTGTTTGACTCCCTCTGTGACCATGTGTGTTTGTGAGGTAGTGCTGCACAAGTGTGTCACTCAAAGAGAGAATTAAATCCTTTTGCGAGACCCCTGCTGTTTATATGTTGAGGTGTGTGCATCCAAATGCACACGCACACACACACACACACACACACACCACTGTTAGAGGAGATTAATTCACACTTTCATCACCAAGCCTTGGTCCCAGGAGAGCCTGGATGAGACTTGGACAAAGTGACTGCAGTGGGATTGCGGGGGGGCGTTAATGGGTTATAGGTGTGTGCACGTGTACTAGCGGGTGACTGTTTGTGTGTTCACTGACCAATAAAAGCTTGGTCCACAGTGGAGTCCTCTCCCATGGGGCCCTAAAACAAGCACAGACTGGCCACAATTAAGTAGTAAGCGTCCACTGTGCATGTATGTGGCTGCTTCGGACAACAGCTTCTGAAATCCATGTTAGTACGGCTGAAGTGATCTGCTGATTACTTGATTACTCAATAAATCGTGTATATTTACAAGTAAATGGTAACTGGACTGGTTCTTATTTCTACTCACAGCGCTTTATACAACATCCCTCATTCACCCATTCACACCTATTCATATAAGCACTTTTTCTAGTGCTTTCTATCTTGCATTCACACTCCAATGAACACATCAGAGAACAACTTGGAGTTCAGCATCTAGACCCAGGATACTTCAGCATGCAGGCGGGAGCAGCCAGGGATCGAATTCAATTAAATTCCAAAATCTGTTTTATTCATATAGTGCATAATCACAACAACAATAATAGCTTCAAGGGGTTGTAAGGTAAAGACCCTACAATAATAGAGAGAAACCCCCCACAGTCAAGCTACCCTCTTTGAGCAAGCACTAGGCGACAGTGAGAAGGAAAAATTCCCTTTAAATAGGAAGAAACCTCAGGCAGAACCAGGCTCAGGGAGGGGCGGCCACCTTCCGCAACCGGTTGGGGATGAAGCAGGTGGTGGATTGGCAGTGGATTGAACCAGCATAGCTCAGGAGGTAAAGTCACCTCCTGAGCTACAGCAACCCTAAATATTAAAAATACAGCAAATATAAAATATTTTCTGGATACCATTATTTCCGGTGCGAACTGCAAATCAAGATGTCACTTTGTGCTCCAGAGCAATTGTCCAAAAACTTTTTTAAAACTAACAGTTCAATATCCTTTCTACACTTTCTGTATAAAACTATTAAAATTATGAGAGCTTATATCACCACATGTCGCTTTTGCTGTTCCAAGCTCCAAAATTGCCTGTAGGCCCCTTAAAGTTTAACAAGCAAAGTGAAATAAAGGCTTAAGTGCTGGCAGAAATGTCACTGAGGGTCTGGATTTCTGTTCACCACCTCAAGCGCTCCACATCTTCAAACAATGCCTAGCTAATGTGAGAAAACTCAAGCACTGAATATGGTGTGAGACCTGACAGGAATGTTTTTAAGTTGCTTGAACATTCTTTGCATCTGCATTTGGGGTGGCTGTAGCTCAGGTGGCAGAGCAGGTCAGCCACTAATCAGAAGGTCGGTGGTTTGATCCCAGGCTGCCTCCTGGCTGCATGCCAAATATCCTTGGGCAAGATACTAACCCCATGTTTGCCTACTGGTGGTGGTCATAGGGCCCGGTGGCGCCAGTGTTCGGCAGCCTCGCCTCTGTCAGTGCGCCCCAGGGCAGCTGTAGCTACAATGTAGCTTGCCATCACCAGTGTGTGAATGGGTGAATGACTGAATGTAGTGTGAAGTGCTTTGGGGTCCTTAAGGACTGAGTAAAGTGCTATACAAATGCAGGCCATTTACCATCTTTCTTACTCAGGTCCTCACTAAATTCATGACGGAAACTCTTGTGTACTCCAGCTCTAAGAAATCTCATTGTTCTTATCAGAAAACCAACACACACACACACACACAATATGTCCACAATAAATTTTGTAACATGTCGCAAATTATTTTTCAAAAATCCTTCTGACACCTTACCACATTTATGGCTTTTAGCCAGTCTTTTCCATTAGCTGTTGAATTTTCTGATTTCACTGTCAGTATGCGTTTACAACTGAAATTCGAGTCTTGAAAAACATCTTAAAGCACTTTAGCTATTTGTACAAACATTTAAATTGTTTAATTGCAGGATGTTTAACCACACAATTCTGGTACTTCTGAATTCAGTAAAGCAAAAACAACAAAAACAAACAAAAAGAAAAACCCTGAGCATTTCTATCAAACCGCAAACCATAAGCTTTTCCAGATTTTAGACCCCAGGTGAAAATTCCAGCAAAATGTCAATATTTTTGCAGCTAAGTGCAGATTGTCTCACATTTTACTGCTTAACTGACATATTCTTTAACAAGTTACAGCCATAAGACAATGCTGGCTGCACTGAAGTAAACAAAACTCTCAGATCTACTCCCATTGAGTGTGAGTAATAAAACCTCAGAATGCTGCAGCCTGTGGGCGGCTGGACATTACCAGAAGTATGGCAACTGTAACACTGACCAGTGACCCCATCCTCTTCCATCTGTCTTCACGTTTGCCTCCCCTCTTGCTTTGCAAACTCAGTTCAGTTTAATTAGGTAACACAAGAGAGATTATAAATGAGTCACTACACATCTCTGTCTTTGTAACAGTATGGGAAAACCACACCAATGCATTTCTCCTTTTCCATTCAGTTACATATTATGAACATTGGAAAGAAATGTTCTCATTCTCTCGATCAATGTATTCCATGACTTGGAGTCTTATTCCAAGTTTTTTTTCCTCCCTTCATTCAACTCATGACCAGAAGTATGACCGATGCATGAAATCACAGTTTATATAATCAGGATATAATTGGAATGTTTGCATCTAACTACACAGCACCTGAATATCTGAGCAGGCGGATGATGAGCACGCTGATCTACAGTTCCAGTAATTAAAAGCGTGAGAAAGAAAGCCCGTACTTTTCTCAGTACGGTACAGAGTGCCGTGTAAACAACCTTAAAGTTGTGCGTTACGTATTGCAAAATGAAAACCAACTAACTTTTTACAAAATTACGTATTTTCGAAAGTGTTGGATGTTAGGTGTCGTCATCCACATCGTGCACAATTGGGGGAAAAGTGACTAACCTTAACAGGAGAGCTCCTGGTGGCCACGGGAAGCTCCCTGATCGCTGTGCCCGGAGGAGAGGCGGATATCCCGGCTGCGTACCCCTGCAGCGAGCCCCCGGCTAGGGACTGCCTGCCTCCCGCTCCTACTCCCCCTCCTCCTCCGCTTCCTCGCTGGGGCCGCTGCTTGATACCATCCAGGAGGCGAACCAGGAGGATGTTAGCGGGCAGGTCGTCCACCCCGCAGTCCACCAGGATGCGGCACTCCGGGCAGCGGAGCTCGTTCCGGGAGCTGACAATGTTCTCCAGGCAGCGGCGGCAGAAGGTGTGCTGGCACGGTAGCACCTTAGCCGTGGTGTCCAGGCGCTCCAGGCACACCGAACACTCCAACAGATCCAGCAGTGACGAGGACTCGTCCATGTCGGCGGAGAGGGTGAGCATCTGGGCTTCAGTGTCCGTGGGGACGCCGCGGCGACTGTTTCGTGTACCGTAGAAAAGAACCGGGGGCACAGAACATTCTGGGAGGCGGACTGACTGGGAAGCAGTCCACGGACGCCCTACGACGACGGTGTTCCCTCGTGCCGAGCGGTTCCCCGCTGAGTTGTGAATGTTCTCCGCTGTTCCGCGCCTCTCTCTCGCTGTCTCCCTCGGCGTGTTTATGTTGTTCGCTCCGCTCTCCGTGTGTCTCCCCCGCTCTCCAGCAGCTGTGCGGAAAGCGGTGAGGTCACGCTCTCATCATCATCATCCGCGCGCCGATCACAATTGCGGTGCGCGCTCACGCACCAAAGACAGATTGATAAAGACTGAGAGAGCGCGAGAGGGAGAGAGAGAGAGACCTTACACCTCAGAACCACCACAGGCATGCAGGCGGCTCCACAGCCCCCCTCGGTAATTACCAGCAGCCCGCTCTCTCACTCCTCACACCTTCACTCCAACTGGTTAAGAAGGAAGCTGGTATCGCTCCTTGAAAGGCCGAAAGGTTCTTTGTCATCTCACCTTCTTATACCTGTCATAAACAATTCATTCCTAGTTTTTGATTCTCCAAATCCTCACAGCTCGCAGCATCCAGAGATACAAAAGTTGATTCCTGGACGCTTTTTCTCGATTTTGTTCCCCTTTCTGTTCAAATGCGACCAACAGGGCGCGGGCTTGATCTCAGTCTCTATGCTGTCTTTTTGTGTGATGCCTACCTGACAGGAGAAGACATCATTTTGATTACCTCAGTAACAACATCCAGCTGATGGTTGAGGGAATGGGAAAGGGTGGTTTGTGGCGACGCCTGGCGGTCGTTTCCTGTGACTTTTTAATTTAAATCAATTAGTCAGAGATTCTCAAAGTTTTCGTGACTCAGTGTCAATTTACGGAGGCAATGTACAACTGGGGCGCAGGGGAATAACGTATACATCACGCATTATTAATCATTTTTAATATAAGGAAAGTGTGGTCTGCTATCATAGGTAGAATAGATTATTTAAAACAGGAGTGATGGTCGCTCAGTAGTATGACACGAACTTTGGATTAATTACATAGTAGTGCCTTCTTTCCTTGCTGTGCTTGCACATTTGTTCAGAAGTGGCAATTATTCTACGGACAACACTTTAAGAACCGTGGTTACGATCCACCCATCCTTTTAACGGCTTATCAAATTCAGGCTCATTCAGGCTGGGGACATACAGAGCCTAGCTCATATGACAATGGGCAGCTAATTGCCTCATTATAAACTACTTGGTTAGCGCAATGAGAAGGTCCTGGGTTCAAATCCACCAGCCCCCCAGAGCCTTTCTTTGTGGACTTTGCATGTTCTTCTTATGCTTGTTTTCCGACTCTCCGTGTTAGCCTTGCAATACACTGGCGACCTGTCCAGGGTATACCCTGCCTTTCGCCCTATGATAGCTGGGATAGGCTGCAGCCAACTGGATAAGCAAGTGAAAAATGAATGGTATCAATAGATGGTTATAATGCAAAACCTCATTATCATTAGTTTCATTGCAAATTGTAAAAGGGAATGTCACTGAATAATTCCAGGATTCTATTTACAGATAACATTTTTGACAGCGCTACATTAGAAACATGGTAAGATGATTACAATGCCATTTCCTATGAAATGACATGACCTTTATTTAAAGATACAGGGAAAGAAATCTGTAACATTTCCACTGACCTATTCCTGGCATATGCTATATAATGAGCACAAAATAGACAAAGGACAAGGAAATGTGTGTATGTATGTGTGCGTGTGTGTTGGGGGGGGTCCATGTATTACTCATTAGCCAAATCACATTACAAATCTACATCATGTAAGCTAAATCAGTACACTGGCTTTAGTTTAAAGTTATGTTTAAGTTAAGTTTGGCTAGTATTGTTAATGTCACCAAGACAAATCCACAGCAAATTTCTGTACAAGTCAATGAAACTCTCTGCGAAGTGACGATAACATGACCATGTGCTCTGTTTCTCAGCCATAGTCTTTCTCAGCTCGTCCACCTGTTCAGACTTGCTCTGCTCTCACATTCAGGAGAGGCAGGGAGTGATTAAGACCACTGTGTGTGTCTGTGCTCATTTGTGTGTTTGCGAGTGTCTATGTCTGTGTGACTAAAGTGACGCCTTCCTGGTTGCAGGGTGAACCCACTCTTTACCACCCACGATGAAAAGAAGAGGGTGTACAGCTTAGGGATACAATAAGAAATAAGGAGTGTATGTGTGTGTGTGTGTGTGTGTGTGTGTGAGTGTGTCTGTTTGTGACACAGTATTGCAGATTTTTTGTTCGTTTTTATGACAGTATCGGGCTGTTAAAATACACTTACGCATTCTGTACAAAGTTTTAAACACTGAAGAAGATTTCAGAGCAGAGAAGCACAGTTAAAATAATGTAATGAAGCATACTGATTTAAAAAAGCACTCTTACTGGAGTCCATGTGTTTGGTAATGAATGGTGTAGAGCTAAACAGATAAAAACTGCACAGCACAGTAAAGGCTATATTAAAGGAGCTGGAAAAGAAGCTTCTACAGCTAACTAGAAAAAGACTGAAATCAAGGGCTTGTTTTTTATGCCAGTAATGGGGTTATTTAAAAAAATTCTCTGTGACACAGAGCTCCACTTGCCATTTATCTACAGAGGCCTCCCATTTCCTAAGGTGTATTTGTATGTCTATAGCCACGGAGCAATCCAATGCAACTCAGCTGCTAAAACACATGTATGTTGTTGTTATCAAGCCCTGATTCTCAATACCTCACTAGTGCAGCAGCCCACGAGTGCTGGCAGTGAACCAAAATTCATCCTGTCTCCCTCCCCTCTCGTTATCATACTCACTCCTGTCTTATGCCCAGTGTCTTTCATCTGCTTAATACAATTCTTCACAGCCAATGATTCAGAATTAGAGGGGAACTACCGAGAGAAGTGAACATAAATGATTATTGGATGAAAATCCCCTCAATCCATTTAAGCAGGATCGTCAGGGCTCCCTGTAGGATGCACTGCTGTCAATAATAGACAAAAGCTGGATGCTGTTTAACCAGCACACGTGTCAATTAAGAATGATAACTAGCTTTCTGCTAATATAAGGGGCTAGTCAATTCTCAGAGAAATTACAGAGTCTAACAATGTTGCAAAGCATGAACACACATGCACTCCACGTGCTTCTCTGCTGCAGTGCACATGCTGTTGTTTTGCATGTTAATGCTCTCTATTAGATACTGTAATGATGAGCTAAAAGATTATGCAAAAAAAGTGTTATTTTCATGTAATCAGTTAGTACAATAGTGCATTGCATGTAAGGTAAATTATATGTACATTTGTGTTGGGTTTATTTGAATTTTCTTTACATTTCCCAAGGAATGAGCGTCTGAAATGGCAGATTGCTCAGTGCTTTGCAAAATAAGTTACAGTCAGCCTTGTGAGTGATTTCTTCGTGTATTTTGTGCTCTGTATTCAATTTTACTGCATAGTGCGCTGCAATGTTTCACTTTATTCTTAAAATAAATAAATAACTTATTGTTTTTATTACTGCAGTGTAGTTATTTTGCAATTGGATATTGTCCTCTGGGAAATTCTTGCCGTGATGAGCCATGAAAATAAACCTGATTTGTGCTGACCTCACTTCAGCTTCATTTATATTCACATTCCTCCTGCTGCTTTTCTTACAGCTGTTTACTTCTGCACAAATCTAGTTCACCAAAGTTTCACAGAATCCTATGTTATCTTCATCTTTATCAGTTCTAATTTCATCGGACTAAACTGAAGGAAGATTAAATCTTGTTTGCTTTAGGTATAAAAATATAATAAACATTTACTGTGCGTATATGTGTGGACGCGTGTGAGTGTATATGTGTAAATGGGTGGATCTTTACCATGAACCTATACCATACACCTCTCTCTCAGCCGCCAATGACTTTCCTTCATGCAAAAGTAGGTTAGCTGACACGACAGTTACCATGGCAACCGGCTCTTGCTTCCTCACTGAAGAGTGGTGCGTGTGTGTGTTCTCACTGAAAGACTTCCAGGGGTAATGGCAAGGTCATAGAGTCTGTTGTAGGCAATTTCAGTAGTACAGCGTGCGCATTCCACACCTTTTTTAATGTGTAACAAAAAGAACAATGCTCAAGAAGTGTTGTCTACCTGCGATGTGACACATACAAAGTTATTTTTTTTATTTTCTGTGGACTCTGACTACTCATAATAATATTGAAACATGATTCCATTTACACAGTAACCCTGAGATCAAGTGGAAAGCCTGTATAATTTGTGGTTGTGGTTATTAATATGAATCAGAAGAGATCAGTGGTTGCATTTTTATTCTGTCTTTTAAATATTGCACTCATCTATGGATTTTTTTAAAATATTGTTTCGCTTTTTGGACATTTAAGCCTTATAAAAGGGATGAGAAGTGTGTTTTGGTGGTAAACTGAAGTCATCCTAATTCAATATACCAAACAAATTAGGCCTCCGCTAACTTCTGTCTTCTCAGAGCTACAGTGCTTTGATTGGAGCTTAGCTGGGTTATAAACAGGGTAGGCATTCTGTGACAGATGCTGTGCTCTTGTGATTCTTTGAAACTGAGATGTCCTACATCAATGCATTTTAAGACTTTGTAGAGCCTAAATATATTCTGCCAATGATTAGATTTGTTCATCAAGTAGTGGTAGCTGTAAACCTAATTTGTTTAGCATATTTTATAAAGACAGACCCCAAAAAATAAATGAGAAAAAAAAGATGAAGTGAATAAATAACAATCACATATCATTCATGCCATGTATTATTAAAAGGAGAAAAAATTATCAGAGCTGTCTATTTTTATTTTTTTTTTGCATCTTTGTCACATGCTTCAAACGATCAAACACATTTTAATATTAGACAAAGATAAACGGATTAAATACAAAATGCAGTTTTTCAATGATGATTTCATTTATTAAGGGGAAAAGGTTATCCAAACCTACCTGGCCCTGTGTGAAAATGTATTTGCCTGCTAAAACATAACCGGTTGTGCCAGCAAGAAGTGCACTCAAGCATTTGCGAAAACTGACAATGAGTCTTTCACATCACTGTGGAGGAATTTTGGCTCACTCTTCTTTTCAGAATTGTTTTAATTCAGCCACATTGGAGGGTTTTCAAGCATGAATGGCCTGTTTAAGGACACGCCAAAGCAACACAATTGGATCTTAGTCTGGACTTTGACTAGGCCGATCCAAAACTCATTCAAAAGATTTGTTTTTTGAGTGGACTTGTTGGAGTGTTTTGTACTATTGTTCTGCTGAATAACTTGAGCTTCAGGGCATTAACTGTTTTGGTAGAGAGCATGTTCTTCTTATGCTTTGCTGCTTCAGGTCCTTTTTAGTCAGCACTAGTTTTCACCTCAGGACGCTCCCATGAATGACCCAGTCTCTTTGCTATTGGTGAATCATTAACACTGACCTTAACTGAAACAAGTGAGGCCTGAGGTACTTTAGATCTTGTTATTGAATTTGTTGTGATCTGGATGAGTCATCAGTGCACCACTCTTGGAGTAATTTGGGCAGACCGGCCACTACTGGAAAGATTCACCATTTGTGGATAATGGTTTTTACTGTTGTTT